GGTCTGGGGCTCCAAAGCTCCCCCCACAGCTATCCCTGGAATGTGCATCCATCCCTGCCAAAGGACACCTGTCAGCTCTTGCTTCAAAATCTCATTAAGGACTGGCTGGGCATTATCTAATCCAGAAGGACTTGTTTGGATGAATTATTTCTACAGTGAGGATCCCGCAGTATAATGTTTCAGCTGAAGTTTGGTGCTCTTATTCTTCCAGGCATGGAAATCAAGAGAACAAATGGAGAAGGATTAGGAGAACTAGATAACTCTTCACTGAGGGCACTGGTTAAATAATCCACTGTCACCTTCAGCCCTTGTCTGACTGCTAAGAGGCAATCCCAAAAATGGATACAGCTGATGAAATCAAAGTAAGCAATAAAACCACAAAAACCTTGTAAGTGTTCTTGGCCTGAAAAAAAAAAATCTTCACATACAAGTAAAGTGTTTTAAGAAATTTAAATAAGTTCCTTAGTTATACAATGGAAGGAATGTGGGTGTGCAGTTAACTTGCTGAGTGCTTGCAGCCCAGCTGGCATCACCTTGACTTCAGGGCCTCCTGAGAGCCACACTCCAATTTGGAACTGAAGGGAGCCAGGACAGAGAAGTAAAAACTCACCAGTGCCACTGGCTCTTAGATCCCAACCCCTTTGTTTGACTAGTGACAAAAAAGTAAACAAAAAAGTGACAACATAATAAAAGTATAACTCAGGGGGTGGGGGGGGGTGTCCATTCCCTCCACCCCCAGCCTGGCTGGGTGCCGAGCTCCCGGCAGGAGAAGAGCCAAGCTGCAGCATCCCAACAAGTGCTTAAGTGCATGTTTAGCTGTTGGTGAGTCAGCTGCTGATTTCAGAATGGCTCTTCTCACTCAGAATTGAGTGCACTTGAGGATCTTTGCTGAATCATTCCATAGGCAAATTGTTATGCAGGCATGTTATATTCAAATGGTGATGCCTTTAATGAAAAAAATGTATCTAGTCTTGTTCCAGCCATTTGAGATTTTGCCACTGACCAATAGAGGGCCTTTTTGTAGTCCAAGAAATGTCATGAAAATGCCAATACCACTGAAGTTTAACCAGTTTCAGCTTTTTAGAAGCTTTCCATTCCATCAGCCAGAAGTCACATGTTTAGGCAGTACATGAAATGGTAATTTCGGATACCTAATCCTTGCTCTGTGTGTAGCACGGTGACTCCATGTACCATGGCCTACAGAGACAAAGGGAGAGACCATGTTCCTGCAGTCTGGTCCCACATATTCAGCCAAGACAGGCTAAGGACACTTTGTACCTCAGTTACTATCCCCATTTTCTCCAAACCCAAGTCCCTATCATCCCATGAGCCTTCAATGATGCATTTTACAGCACTGGGTGAAAATATCCTCCACAAGCTGTACTGGGAAAAGCAAACCTGATCTTGCCTAGGCTGAGGGAACTGACTCCAGGTCTTTAATTTCCCATGTGAATTTTGTAGCCATTTCTCATTACGCTCCAAGCAATCAATTGTCACAACAATCACCAGTGCTACCGTTTAATTTAGTGAGGACCCTGTTCCTGGAGGCGTGGGGACAGAGGTGCAGAGGTGTTCTTCCAAGAGAACCAGGTACAAGAGAACCACCTCTGGATACCTCTGAGTGAGCTGTGATGCCAACCCATGCTCCTTGTTCAGACCCCAGAGCCAAACATTGGAGCATGACGAATATGGGCAACATGCAGGAGCATGCTGCTGTTTGGCTTGAATCATTTGATGGGATACATTGGATCTGGGGCAATTCAGTTCTGTCTCAGTCCCTTTTCAGATCCCAATGATCATTACCACAGCTAGCCTGACCGGATTAATTTTGGGATCACTGGCCATCTTCCCACAGGTCTTCAATGTCATTGTCTGCTCAGAGTCTCATCCTGGTGCTGGGTCAGTAAAGGAAGGTGTTGCCCTTTGGATGACTGTTTTGCCTGTTGTAGCATTGGCACCTACTGGAGGATGCCATAAATCAGCTAACGTGAGGGCAAAGTACTCCATAAAGGCATATAGAGAAAAGGCTCCCAAGAATCCTCAGTAAGCCTCAAAAGTCCTGGCTGGCCTTGCTAGAAGCAGGAGGTTGAACTTACTACCAAAAAATTATGATGGTTTCTAATTGATTTAGCCCCTGCTGGTTGTTGTTAATCTGATCCTTTTGATTCTATTTTGCATTTGGTTTTTTGGGGTGCTTTTAATTGCTGCAATGTCTTCTTCAGTACTGTGTTCTTTAACACCTCAGTTGCGCATGTCCTTGCAGAGGGAGTATTGGTTGGGTTGCTCCACACAGGTACAGTGTAGCCAAAACAGAGGCCTGACAGCTATAGAAGAGACATGCACTTCTATAACATTAATAAGAGCTTGCCTTCAACCTGTACACTAAAAAAGGGCAATTACCAACTGCGTGCAAGTATTTTGTAACATTTTGTGATGGCATTGATAGGCACAATTTTTCAAAAGCATGTGAGCTAGGTAATCATCAAAGGGGCAAAGACAGCTGTAATTACACATTGGAGGTATCCCAGTAAAAAAGGTTTCCAGAGGCAGAAGAAGCATAGGGGCATAGAAATAGATGGATAAGAGCTGTTGGCAAGACAATAGAAAATAGCACAAGTGCCATCAGGAACAGAGGAGACCTTCTGCCCCTGTTTGGAGAGTGTCAGTAACATGAAAACATAAGGCATCAACAAGGAAAATTAGAGCACTACCTGTGCTCTGAGTTGTCTTTCTGATGAACTGTCAGGACCTCAGTGATTATGAATGACCAGGACTGTAGCCAGCAGTGCAAACTGTTATCTCTGTGGTGTCATACACTCCCAGATAATTTATGACTGTCAGAGACTAAGACTGTTCTCTATGTAGTGGCAGTGCTTAATATGGTGCAAGAAATGTCCATTTGCAAGTGTGTTGCTAATGAATAAATTTAGCGGATGATTTCACTTTAGAGTTAAGTTGGTATGATTTACCAGTCTTCCAAATCCGTGGTCTTGAGCAGCCTGGAGCATATGATGAAAGATATATTCAGTTACATAGGCAGGACTTACCCAAACTGTAGCTGTACCTTGTGTCAGCTAATACGTAAGTACAATTTTATTCCCACATTAATAGCTGCAGTGTAGCCAAGGGCTGTTTGTGAACTTAACAGTGATTTGGTTGCTGCCCTTTGAATAAGGACCTGGAAACCAGAACATTTGCTTGAAAGGTGAAACACAAATTGCTGGGTTAGGAGGTCATTTGCCTGATGGCTTTGCACCTTAAGATTCCTATTTTCAAGCACTTCTAACTACAGTATATTCACATATGATTTTCAGTTTAAGTGGAGTATTCCTGTTTGCTAATACGCTTCCTCATGCTGGAGCTGCAAGAGGGACTTCAAAGACACTGTGAAATTCATTATGAATCATAAGACTTGACGCATTTGTACCAACTGAAAACTAAAGTTCTTGAAGATTCAACCTGGACTTTGATTGATAATAGGACCCCAAACATGTCAGAACTTTGAATCTGTTTCAACAAGGGCAAGGAATTAAATCAGTCCACTGACTCAGTTACAGTATCAGGGAAAGGGCTCAAACTCACAATTAAGAGATCTCGCTTTCATTTCAGGTTCAGCTAACCCTCAGTCTTTTCTGTCAAGAGCTCACTGATGTCTCCAGACATTTCCCTGCTTATCAAGCTTATCTGAAAACCTCCTTTAGGTGTATTCTTCCCTTCTCATTGTCTGCAATCAAGCATGGATGCTTTTTTCACAATCAGTATGAGCTCAATGTTGATAAAGATGTTCTTCTGGTCTTGGCTTCTCCACCAAGGTGGCTGTAAAAAACTACAGCCCATCTGCCTTTGTAATGAAAAGGATGAAGAGGAACGTGATTTGGAAATGATGCTGTGCCTATTTGCAAGGCCAGCTTGAGCTATAATTAGGCAGTGCTCAACTGGATGTGAAGGAGGTGCCTGAGCTGTAACATAATACTTGTGTGGAACAGAGTAGTAGAAACAAATTTGTAATGCCAGACCCAAACACTGGATAAAATTTGGAATAAAATTGAGCAGATGAATATTGGGGGGGGGGGGGCAGAATACGGATTAAAATCTACACTGGATTTTTCTACTCACATTTTACACCAAACCTGCTTTTTAGCCTACAAATTAACTCCCTCCACGCCTAAATGTTTCCATCCCAGAAAGAAAGAGAGGCAAGAGCACAGACAGGGGAGAGAACTAGACAAGCTGCAACTATTTTTTTAATCTCATTAACTATTTAGCTCAGGATGTGTAAATAAAATTAATCCCTCAACTGTACTGCTGTCTTGTATCTGCCAGACCTTCTGAGGGCTCATGGCACCTCCCCAGCCAGGGAGAAGTCTCCCTGATAGCATATGGAGCAAAACCACATTTGGTAAATATGGGGATGAACCAAAAGGACAGGTATTTGGAAGCTAGATGAACCCACAGAATCACAGAACATTCTGAGCAGGAAGGGACCCAGAAGGGCCATCAAGTCCAGCTCAGAAGTGAATGGCCCATAGGGGGATCGAACCCAAGACCTTGGCACTATTAGCACAATGCTCTAACCAACCCCATCCATTTTATCTTGCTGATTCAACATACTGCAAATTTCTGACCTCATATTGATTTCTGATTTTAGTGGAGATGGTGTTTATAAGAACCAATTGTAACTTGACCTACTTATGCTTTCCAGGTCTAAGAATAGCATGTTTGGGCTGCTGCTGCCTGCCAGGACTGGCAGCTGAGTCTCAGATCACTATCAAACATACTTGAAAGGGTGTTTTCCACTTAAGACAGATGCCTTTTGCCTTTTTTTAGGTTTCAGTTATTGATAGGGGGAAAAAATACTAATTTCAAAGTATTTGTGACTTAAAAATCAGCCTTGCAAGAAGTCACCCTCTCTGTCCCTGCAGCAGCACTCAGCAGCACTCAGCCCATTTCTTCATGGTGCTCAGAACTCAGCTGTCCCTGGTTCACTGCAGGCTGCACCAGGGCCTAATTTTACACCTGTCTTTCCATTACCCTAATCTGCATTTTCCACTTCATTTTAACATATTTTTTTTCCCAAGATCAAATACACTTGTCAGTTTCTGTGACAGCCAAATATCTTTGATTTTTTTCTACTTTTATTTCTGATTTTAACTTTTTCCTACTTTTAGGATTATAGGCTACCCTCTAGGTAAGAGCTGTCAGATTTCTCTCCCTGAGATACATTTTGTATTTTACAAAAATGAAACTTAAAAAGAAACAATTACAAGTATTAGAAGTTGTGGGGAAGGCAGAGAGGGTGTGGAATAAGGCTTGAATTTTTATTTTAAAGAAAGCAAAGGAGGAACCTCCACTACCTCTTCACTGAAGGGTGGTCAAGTCCATGCAAGTCCCTGGGTGCATTTCACAGGGAGGCCAAAAAGCAGCAGCAGGCATGTCCCTGGCTCCGTGCCCTGCTATGCCAGGCAGGCTGCAGTGCTGCCCCAGTGGTGCCATGGCTGTAGCACCCTGGCTGTGGGGCTGGCTGGACTCTTGCTGAGTTTCCCAGCCCCGGCATGCCCTTCCCAGGGCACCATGGACCCCATGGGCATCTCGACTCCCTGCACGGCACAGGGACAGCTCTGCATGGGGAGCTGAGCAGGAATGGCAGCAGCTGGAGACTAATCCCAGGGCAGATTTGTCCCTGGGCTCCCAGGTGCAGGTAGCCCTGCAGGAGTGCAGAGCCGCAGCGCTGGAGGCAGGGCCAGCAGCCCCAGCAGGGCCAGGCCCGGCACAAGGGCTGCAGCCATGGGCAGCAGCTCCCAGGGGCAGAGCCACCGCCAGGGCCCACCTTTGCTGCTTTCTGGGACGCTGAGTGCTACTTAAGCTGCACGAGCAGCTGACAGTCCTGGGGACGGAGTACGTGCCTCAGTGCTGCAGCTGGAGACACAAATGATTCCCTGTCCAGCGAGCGCTGGGCAGTAGCACAGGGGAAATCGCAAAAGAGGTCCCATGAGGGTCTGTGTTGCATGGACACCCACACTCCCAGCCTGAGAAAGATGCCTTGTGGTGCTTTAGACCAGAGCCCAGAGACCCCAGTGCCAAGGTGAGTGGTGAGGGCCAGGCTGAGTGAAGGGAGAGGTGACTGTCTGGGAGAGAAGGGCTATCCTCCCTGCACAGCCTGGGCAGATCCTCCTCCCCTGCTGTCCCTGTGCCATCGCTCTCCTTGTCCCCAGCTACAGCATCACCACTTCCCACGGGTTTGCTGTGGGATATTAATTTCCCCTTTTCAGGCAGAACCGAGCAGAACATTCACTGGGGTCAGCCTGGGCACCCAGCTAATTGAGTCTTGTTTTGATGACTGTGGGGCAGCTTTCCACCATGGAGTGTGGCTGTGAGGCATCTTCTTCCCTGCAGTCCCTGAGATGCACACCAAGCCCTTTCCTTTCTGGCCACCCAAACTGCTACTCTACCATGTAAATTTAACCATTTACACTAAGTGCCTTACAGAAAGTTAGAGCCAGCCTCTCCATTCCCCAAACCTTCAGAGACTGAGGATAGGAGGAGCTGGAGGATGGGTCCCCACCAACCTTTTTTCCCTCTTTCTTCAGCTGCTGTTTGTGAACACTATGGCTGGCCAAGGACATGCCATGGTAGGACAAAAACTGATCTTGACTGAGAGATTGAAATTTAGAAGATTTAAGACCTATATGCTCTCATCCTTTGAGACAATGGCAAGAAACACAGACTGTATTTAAAATATTAAGGGCTTCTTCAGTGGAATATGATGTTTATTAATGTGATGCTTATTTGCATTAAAATGAGTGGTGTTTATTAATACTTGTCATTCATAATGGACATGTTTTGTAGAAACATGTTTTGATCCATCTTTCTTTGTCACTTGGTAGTTGTTACTAACTGCCACAGCTTTGTGATTTGCTGCTTTAGAATATCATAGATCACTTGAATTGTCATCTTTATGACTGAGAACTGTAGATTTTATGAACAGGAATACCCTTATCTCCTTGGAATCATATTTAGATAAGTTCAAATTTTTAATTACTACCTCTAATTTATAGTCGATTATCTATTTGGCAAATAAAAGTGCTTGACAACATCTAAAAAGTAATTTCATTAAGTGCCCTCCCAAAGACACTATTATCTTCATGTTTTATTACAATGGTAGTGTTTCAAGATCAGACTCCACCCAGGATGCACCAAGCAGTTAAATAATAATAATAATATCCCGGTCTTAAAGAATTTATGTCTATACTCAACAGTATAAAAAGAGATCACCAAACATATAAGTTTACATTTACTGCAAGTAAATGCATGAGGAAGAACAAGTAATTTAAAAATGATACTGGACAAAAAATCTTTTCTACTGATACAATCATATACAATGTACTTAATTCAAATAATCAAGCTGAGAAAACTTCTATGCTCAAATACCTGCAACACTGTGTGACTCATTTGCTGTGTACTGATGATAATATTCCCCATGTTGGATTTGTTCATCTTCATTTACCCAGCTCTCATCTTCAGGACAGCCAGGAAGCAGCACCAGAGCAACCACCCTGCTGCTGTGATGCACAAGGAAACCAGGGTTGTGGACTGAAGCTTGGTCTGAATTGCCTGGGTAGTTGCTTCTTTTGGTCCAAGGAATTGAACAAAATTGCAAAATGTTTCTACTAGGAAGAAAGGCTAAGAGGCATGTAATTTTCCAAGTATGTAAAGCATTTTTTTCCTGTGAGTATACAATAAAAGGCCACCAGGAACATACCTTGTCTCTTACCTTGACTCCTTCCAGAATTCTGATTCCAAAGCATGAAACTCCATCCAAAGTTTCATGCTTTGTTTCCTTTTTTCCTCACAGTTTCATAGAAAGCACTTCTCTGCTTGCCTAAAAAGCTCAACCTTTATGGTTTCCCTCTTTCTCTCACAAATATGCAGCAGCTACCACATCTTTTCTTCTTACTGAGGTTTTTCAATCAGAGCAGAGTCCAAATTCATCACTGCATCATAGAATGGTTTGGGTTCTATGGGACCTTCAAAGATCTAGTCCAGCCCCTGACCATGGGGATATCTTTCAATAGGTCAGGTTGCTCAAAGCCTAGTCCAACATGACTTTGAACTCTTCCAATGTGGGGCATCCATAACTTCTCTCAGGAACCAGTTCCAGTGTCTCACCATCCTCATCACTTTGCCCTCATGCAATAGTTTTCTTCTGTGTCTAACCAAGGGCGCATTCAGTCTTCCCTTGGTCCCCAAAATGAAGGAAGCTGCCATGGCCAGCAGCTTCTGCATGCTGATATGACCACTCAATCCCAAGCGCACTAAGGAGTTGTTAATTCTACTTCTGTTTGATGGTGTTTTGGATGCATGAAGTCAAAACTCACAGAACAAACAGAGACAAACACAGAACAAACAGAGGCAAACAAACAGAGCGTCAAAGATCCAATCCTTGAGTAAGGCATCAACCTCTCAGAGTAGAATATGTGTGGGACCAAAAAAATTTTAAGCATTAATTTTACTACTTCTGCCACATCCATTTTGACCTGGCTGGAAGCTACTTTGTCTCTAGAATGAAAGAGATCCCGGTCAGGGTGAGGGTATGGATAATGTGGACATTAAGCTTTTCATAGGCACTGCATAGCACAGTAATCAGAGAATTATCCCACAGGCTGCACACCCCATGTGTCCCTTCTGCAGTGACAGTGACCTCTGAGCTAGCAAACATCTTTGATAGGAAGGAGATCTGCACTGAGATCTGAATCTAAGGTACGAACTTGTGCTTTGCTCTAACTTTGCTCTGTTTCTTTTGGTTTTTTCTTTTTTTTTTTTTTTTTTTTTAATTAGCAAGTAACATGGAGCTCAGTGAATGAAAATAGCATTGGAAATTAAGGAAATGCTTCATAGAACTACAGTTTGCCAAATGTTTTAATGGAAAAACATGCTTACTTGCTTGGACTCCTTTGTGCCTGCTCTACAGCCTTGTTTTTAGACAGACTAATTGCTCTTGTTTCTGCAGGACTTTCTGCACACTTTCTGCAGAAAAGACATGGATGCACGCAATTGTCAATGTTGATTAAAACTCATTTATAACCTCAAAACCTCCACCAAGTTGTGCAGCCACTCAGCTGAGCCACAGACCCACAGCCCCTCCTCTGCCAGAGCTTGATGATATTGAGAGTGGCAACAGCTCCTTGCAGGAGTGCTGAAGTTGTGCTAATGCTCTTCCCTGGTTTTCATTGAACCAGGCTCTCTCTCACAACAAAATGACAAATAAGAGCTCCAGGAATCGAGAGGATGTGCATGGACATCTAGTGAGTTCATAGTAGTGGTGCTGGTCTAAAAACATGTCTCTTAGGTGATAAGGGCCTCTGGAGCAAATTTCTACATGCCAAAGGATTGCCACACGTGTGCATAAGGTGCACAGTGAACAGAAAGACAGTTGACCTTCCTCGTACTTGGCCACACGGGAAAGGTGATTTTTATTTGGGAATACACTGAAGACAGGGAGTGCTGTTCTGGGTCAGCTTACTTGCCTAGGACAGTGATAGGCAATCTGTGAGACAAAAACGTCCGAGAGCTCTCATGCTCTAAAAGAAAGACATCCATAATATCCCCATTCTCATCCCATATGGGATTTTCATATGAGAAACAAAAGCCTGCTCAAGAAGCTTGCATCTCACTGTGCTTCAATATAAAACATTAGTAACCTCTTATGCAGTAGTAATTTCTATGGTACACATTTCTTGTAGAACAAAAATAAGATACTTGCAAAATGGCAAAAGATTGTGCTTCCATCTATTTACTTTCTTGAGCTGAAAAAATGTGAGAAACTTTCCATTTCCTGACTACACAATAGACATGTTGCTATAAGAGCTGGATCTTGATTTGAAATATGAATATAACTTTTGGATTGAGTCCAGGTCTCTGCTCTTGCAGGATTTTCCTTGGAGGACGGACTCAAGCCAGTTAAATCAATGCACAATTGGATGTGGAGCTTGACTTTCTTTTTCCTCTTGTTCTTGTTTCAGGACACCAAAGCTCAAATGCCATTATGTGAATTCTTGCACAAATAGGGAGGAGTCAGATCCCTGAGTGTTGTCACCACCATTTTTACTTTGTGAAGAGCCTGTGGAAGTTTTAAGTGGAGAAACAGAGAGTTCGGTTGTTACTGCCAGGTTCAAATATTTAAATATCATGAGCCAGATTCCCCCAAGTCCAAACAAAATTTTCTTTAAATAGCAAAGGTGTTCTCTTTAGGCTGTTATTTGGATGGTATTTCCTCTGCATGCATAAAGACAAAAAATTTACTTTTTGTAAAAAGCAAGATCCTCATCTCAGATCTTCAGAATCCACAGGTCTGAAAGTTCCCAAGGTGACTAAAAACATCACAGACATAGTGCTAAATAAACCTGTCTCCAAATGTTGCTTTGTTTTCCAAGCTCATTGACTTGGTACCTGTCCTTCTTTTCTTCTCTTTTCTTCAGTTCTTTTTTGTTTCACGTACAGAGCGGGAAACAGTGTTTTAGAGGGTAGGATGATAACATTCTTGCAAGTGGGTCTCTTTTTTCTCTTTGAAATGCTTTAGATTTTGAGATATTTTCAAGTTTAAAAACTGCCAGAGATGAAAATTTCTTCAGAAGTGTCCTTTGAGTCAGAGATAAAAGTGGTGCCCAGCAGGTATAGGCCAGCAATAGTCAAAGAAAATATGAACTCCCAGCAGAAGCTATGAAGTTCACTCCCTCTAGTTCTGCTACTGTATAAGACTACATCATTCTTTATTTCTAACCTTTTCTTTTCCTATCCACTGGCTGTACCAATAAATGTGCACAAAATCTGCCTGTGAATCTGCATTCTTAGCCTCTTTATCCTGCTGTTTATGATGTTTTCCCTGAGGACAGGGAGAAAATCAGACTACAAGCCACTTCATGCTGTGACCCAAGCTCCATCAAGGGGTGACACATCTGGACAACTCTGAAGAAGGTGAAGCACACCCCAGGGCTGTGGGAGCTGGCACCAACTTGGACCTCAGGAAGTCAATATTCAATTTCCATGTTTAACAATGATCTTTTGAGAAATCAGTGAGCTTTTAACATCCTCTGCCTTGGTAAATCTGAGGGTTGTGAAAGTTGATTGATTCTCTCTGGAATTATATATTTGGATGCAATGCTATAAATGCCAGAAATGTTAAGATCCTTTTGCAAAAGAGAAAACATTTACCTGGGAAGACAGAGTAAGAGCATCCAAATATAACATGAAAGATGCTGGTGGTGAGAGGACTGAGGAGTGCTTCTGAGAAACTTGTTTTTATCTCCTGCAAATATATTTTACCATTTCAGCCCATATTCCTCATTTGCCCTCACCTCGTGCTGCACATATTTAATTTAAACCTGAGACAAGCCAAGGACAGAAACATGAACTCTGTGTCCATGACTCTCTCATGCCATCTCCAGCTTCCCCAAGAAAGCCAATATGCAGAGGAGAGTGACACAGAGACACCTGTTCTGGCAGAGCAAATTAAACTGCTGATGCTATAACATAAAATCAACGTTGCACGTTTAAGGGTCCTTTAATAGACATCAAGGAGGAAATTACATTCTTGTCTGGCTAGATAAATTAACTTTATGCTAATAATATTTAGATATTAGTATTGCTAATCCATTTCAAATTCACAGCCCTTTAAGATTGTTGAGGAAAAATAAGCTGTTTCTAACTCCAGAAACACTTACAAAGGGGGCTGCTATAATACCTGGAAAACTTGAGTTTGGAAGATCAAATGACTCTTCATAGCCAATTACCAGAGTTGTGACAGACTGAGTCTCCTGGCTCAGCTCCTGGGGTCTCAGCTATCAGTACAGTTGCTCAGACCATGGCAGTTTCATTGTGTTATTTGAGAACCTGTAATGAAATACCTTATTTCCATGCTTTCTAAGTAACCTGTACTCCATGCACCCCCTCTGTGCCAGTATTGCAGGCAGAAACCAAAGAAGCCTGTGCTGACTCCTGCCTACCCAAACAGCAAACAACATCCCTGCAAGCAAAATGCCATAAATACACTTATTCCAAGTTAACTAAATGTTGCTGATGTTCTCTGATAAATAATAGTCCCATAAACTGTTCCCAATAGTGAGAAGAGAGAAGTGCATCTGAAGCCAACTACTTTACACTAAAGTTTTATATGAAGAATATGCTGAAGCTTCATCATAAATAATTAAATACCTTTCTAAACTATTAATGCAGATTGTTGATGGCTTCTGTTTTGCCTATGGTGTTTCAAAAGTGTTGACTGTAGGCAAGTATAGATCTTTATCTGTGATGAAAAATAGCTTTGAAAACATTAAAACACCTTTGCAGTTGAAAGTCTTCCTCCAGATAGGGACATAAAACTGAAGTGTGCTGTCTTCATCCTAAGGAGAATCTAAAGATCAAAACAGATCTCAGTAAAGTCACTGCAAACAAATCTATTTGGTGTTTGACCAGCTAATGTCAGCCACTTTCAAAACACAGAAGTTTCACTGCATAAGGCCACCATCAGAAATATGCTGGGGTAGACAGAAATTGTCTGAAACAATAATTGACATTATTTCCAAACTAACTAACACAAAGAGTGGTTATTCAAGGCACTCCAGTGCTGAGAAATCAGGTGCGAGACTGCAGTACATCACTTTTCCTTGCAGTTTCCCTCCATTTAGAAAGAGCTTAAGGGTATCAAGGCACATGGTATCTAACAGGGAAGTACTATCCCAGCGTCTGGATGCTACCATATA